ATTATTTGTTGAAAAATGAATGAGTCATCAATCCCCTGAGCCCAGGCATTGAGCTTCTCGGTCCTTATTTCCGACTCTTCTTAGGAAAGAGCCCAGGTGTGCAATCTTCCCTCCATCCTGTCCCCATTCTCCCCACTGGGTGGGGACAACTCACTTGGCAAAAGGGATGAGGTTATCTCCATCTTCCTGTACCTGCAGGACTGGACTGGGCTGGCTGGCGGGACTGAGTCGCTTCATGGGTGCTGGGAGGATAATGAAAAATGAGTCATTCACGCATGTACATGGCTGTAGGGATGAGACCAGGAGCAGATCTAGAGACTGGAAAGAGGATCCTGGGTCCTGCAAAGGGAAAGGGAGCTTTAAAGGCATTTCTAGTGCTGGACAGGTCTAGTAGCTGAATATACAGGTGGAAGATGGAGAGCCTAGGGCAGTGATGGCGAACCTATGACACGCGTGTCAGAGGTGACACGCGAACTCACTTTTTTGGTTGATTTTTCTTTGTTAAATGGCATTTAAATATATAAAATAAATATCAAAAATATAAGTCTTTGTTTTACTATGGTTGCAAATATCAAAAAATTTCTATATGTGACACGGCACCAGAGTTAAGTTAGGGTTTTTCAAAATGCTGACACGCCGAGCTCAAAAGGTTCGCCATCACTGACCTAGGGACTGTGGATGTGGCAGAAGATAAAGGAGAAAAGGAATTTTCTGAAGCCAAATGTATAGACTCTATACTATAGAGTAAGTGACATTTGCAAATGGCAGTTAAGTTACTTAGTTGGCGCTAGGAGATGATGAAATGAAAAGGTGTGAAGGTGGAAACTAGACAGGACGGAGGCATTTGTGGATGGCGGTATGGACTTGGTGGTTGGGGGCAGCTAGAGAATTGAGGGCTGGTAAAAATAAATCAGTTAGGTGTGGACAGAGGGTCAATGAGTGACGGGGAAGCGGGGGCAGGGGGACTGCCGACAGGTAAAGGTGAGCAAAGGCCAGCTGCACGGAGCCGGGGGAGGGGGAGCCACATACAACCCGAGAGCCCCGGGACGTGGGGTGCTAGTTGCAAGAGCGCCTGCAGGGAACATGGAAGAAAAGGCCCGCGGGGAACAACGGGGACTGTATCCCAGGGCAACTGGGGACGGGGCGAGAGAGCAGGTGGGCGAGGGGAGAGGAGGATGTTCAGGCTGGGGCGTCGGATGCGATGGAGTCGGGCTGAAAAGGCAGGAGGGTCTACACGGGAGGCCCTGGGCCGGAAGGGGTCAGTTAGGGCCTCAGGGTGTGGCCTCGGCCTCAGGGACAGGACGGGCGTCAGGAAGCTGGACAGAGGACCCAACAGCTGGCCAGGGGTGCAGGCGAGGCCTCCCCGGGCAGAGGGGGGCCGAGGGGTCTGGGCTGCGGGGAGAGGGC